CTTAAATTTCAGTTTAGTTAGAAATCTCGCTGAAAAGCAAATGAAAGAATATATAGTTGGGCAAGTCAACTTTTTAACATCCTTTAAGTGACAGACCAGTTCTTTGGGGGAATTAAAAGCAACTGTCTTTTCCTTGCAAATCTCTTCAAGTCAGAAATGAAAACACAGCCCACAATGACCTGAGACTAACCATAATTAGCTCAGTCAGGTACAACCTGAAACCAAGGGGAAACAAAAGGGCAAAAGTGGCCTTTTTAAACTCAAACTGTTACTGAATGCAAGTTTGTGGGTGCGAAGCACAGTGAGGCAAAACCAAAACATCAGAGATTGGAGCGGAGAAAGGTCTATTGCGGGGCCCAGCAAGGAGAACAGGAGGCTTGTGTTCAAAATCCTGAATTCCCTGATGGTTTTTAGGGTGAAGTTTTTATAGGCAAAATTTGGAGTGAGGGCTGCAGAGTGTGTGACTTTCTTCTGATTGGTTGGTGGTGAGGGAAGAGGGCGGTGCTCCAGGAATCTTGTGCTTGGCCTGAAGTTACCATCCCCCACGTGCGTGTGTGTGTGTGTGTGTGTGTGTGTGTGTGTGTGTGTGTGTGTGGCGGGAGGGATGCCTTGGTTCCTGCAGAAGAACTGAAAGGTACTGTTATGTGTATCCGTCGAGGAGCAGCCAGGACCCTGCTTCCCTCGCTGCACTGTTGTCCCTTTACTGCTTCTCACTTGTTTCTGTGTTCCCTCCCTTCCCTGATTCGCAGTTGTTTGAATCTGCCCTTTGGAATTCAAGGAAGGTCTAGGAGGCGGAAGGAAGCCTGTCTCCTACAAACAAGAAACGGGGGACAAGAAAAGGATTTGTACCTGGGAAGGCCCCCACAGGGTCCTGCTCAATTTCAAAACTTCTGGAAGGCTCACTCAGCCAGGATCTAATCCATAGCCTCCTTAAGGGTTTATCAAGAACAAATACAAATCTTAAAGTCTTTTCCATAAATAGTAAAGCCTTAGTCATCTGAGCAAGCAACTGTAATTTATTCCAACTATTAATTATAAACTGGTAAATGTATATTGTAATACCTGATTCATAGCTAATTTTTAAAGTGAAGCTATGAGAGCTCCAGTTTTGTCTGTTTCTATGTCTATGTATCTATTACACATATGAGATGTTTCTACCTCTGGAAAACATATCAGAATTAAACTTGCAAAAGAGCTCCATTTAACTGACTTAAAAGTAAGCTCTTAAACTAAATATGAAAGAAACTAGCTAGAATGAATCTCAGGTTCATGTAATCTAGAAAATAGTCAGTATTAAATTAACATCTGGTACTAAAGCTAGCTTAAGTTTGCTGGTTCATCAATATAGCCATCCCTTTCATTGTACCTAGGTTTACTGAAGGTCAGTGCATTCATGGTATTTCTGTTACAGAGTTTGTCAACAACAACAAAAAATTAACTTGGTGTGATGCAATTCATCTAAGTGGATTAAATGCAAATGAGATAAGAGCTTTCGGGCAAACTTTTTGGAAATAATTATGTTTTAGGAATATCTACTTGAAAATAATCTCTCCAGATATTTGGTAATGTGAAATTTTAGAATTATGCTAAATTAAGTTAAATGATGAAAGTTTATTGACAAGGTCATTCCTAAATAAAATACTGAAACATTAATTACTGAACATTAGCTTCCCTTTACAAAGAAACTAAATGTGTTTAGAATATTAATAAATATGTTTGGTGCCACACTGAGATATTTTCTATAAGAAAGCACGTTTTAAAAAATTATTGGTACTTATGTTTGCCAATCCACAGAATGCTAATGTAGAAGACAGTTCATAATTGCTTACTTCTTGGTTTTCACTAGAAAATAAGATTTTGAAGAGTTGAGTATTCTAATTTAAATATGTAATTAAAATTAATAGAAATAATAAAGGAAACATTTCAGATATGGTAGGAAAATAAGATGTGTGTTGTGAACAAAAGAAGGTGTGAAAGATGGAATTGCATTTTGTTAAGAGAAAAAGAGAAGTAATTTTGCCCTTGAGCTGGCTGTTTCCAGATGGGAAAGAAAGGGACAAAATAAGATGGATACAGAAAGTTGGTGGAAGAGGTACCCTGAGAAAAGGGTTTTATAGATGGTCAGGATTGGCTAAATTTAGACTGAATTTGATTAAATGGATTTTGTTGTTGAAAGTAAGCTGGTATAAGACTGGAGCATGGTTTTCCCTCTCTGTTAAGAGAACAAAGTTTTCTTGCAGTGCTGCCCTTGGTAACAGATTGTGTGAGCTTCTGTGCCTTTAAGTAATCTGTATTTACTTCTGAAACCTTTCCTCACTTTGGTTAAGTGTACAAGTGTTGTCTTGCAGTGATCTGTGATCCTATTTGACCAAGTGTTTTAAAACATTTAACAAACTTCATATCAAATCTTAAAGTTCTTTTGACTTCCAACTGACTTTAAAATGCTTCAGAGAGCCCATATGACATCTCAGAGAGGAATGTTAAACTAATTAGGTTTATACGGTATGTTACTTGAGAAATAATGTCAAATGATTAGAGATGAAACTTAGGTTATATTGTATAGAGAAATGTCATTAATATAGATATCCCAACATTTATATGAAATTTCTAAAAATTTGATATGCCCTGGTGTAATGTCACCAGGGTTTAACAAATTACAAATTGTTTAACCCAAATTAAAATCAGTCACGATTTTAATTATCTTAAAATGTTGTATGCCACAGAAATATCCATGTTTCTTGTCAAATGCATTGTAATCAGATCTTTAACCATGCCATTTTAAGTCTTGTTGTTTAAAGACAATCATTGTTTTACTCTGATGCTGTCATAAGATGAAGATCTTCATGAAAATTCATAAAAAGGACTTCTGACAAATGTTTCCGATAATTTTTAGATCACACCACTGAACTGGATAAGAAATGACAGAACTCTAATGGAAAACCTGAAGACTTCGTCTAGCTTATCAGGAATTAATTAACTGATAAATATGATTTATCATTTTATGACTTTTTATGAAATATACTGGCTTTTAATCTTTGTTTTCCAGAAAAAAAAATTTCCTTTTATGCTATGAATTACAATGTTGACTAAGCATACCTTTAAAAGATGAAACACTGTTCTATTTCTCTGTACCTGATCTTTCCAGAATTTCACTTCTCCAGCTGGCTCTCCTGTAGACTTGATGGTTTATTGCAACAGATTACAACTAGTTATACTAATCATTGTTTTAATTTGTTCTCTTTGGTTCCAAATTATTTATGCTTTGTGTGTCTCTCTCCCTGTACTATGACCTTATTAATGTTACTAGCTGTATTATCCTGTCTAGTTTATAAGACTGTCTCTTGCATTACCCAGTGTGTAACCAGGTCTCCAACAAAACTAATGTTAGCTGAATTCTTGAGACAGTTAATCATGTACACATAACTCCACATAAAATAATTGTAATAGTGTAACTCTAGGTAGGGGAAGAAGCAACAAGGGAAAACGTTCTCTGAATCACAAGAGACTGGTAAGATAGGCAATCCACAGTATTGTAGGTTATCCACAGAGCCTAATCCAAAAAAATTAACACTGAATAGCTTATCAACAGAATCTTTATCTGATCTAGGAATGAGACTTCCTGGCACCATGAGACAAAATTGGTCATGAAATGTCTCCCAAATATTGGTTGAATTTCTGATGAAGGGAAAGCACTGTGAATGCAAAAAATGTTGCCTGCAATATGCCCCTGCCCCGATGGTGAGCCCTGGGGGAACTGAGGATGGAGACTAACAGGCTGCCCGCTGCCAAGCCCTCAGCCACTGCAGACACCCCCAACCTCAGGGTGCACCCTGAGGGGACTTGGGATGGAAAAGGGCAGGATTCTGGCCCTAGAGAGCCAAAGTGCAAATCAAAGGAATGATTTCATTGAGCCCAGACTCTTGCATCTTCCCATACAAAGAAAAGCACTAAATTCATTAACTTGAGATGTCTGGTTTTCTTCAATTAACAGCACTCTTTTGCTGTTCTGACTACGTGGTCTTTGCTGTAAAACTCCTGTGTATCCTGGCTCCTCCCTTACCTCTTCAGAGCATCCCTCAGAACTGAGAGGCTGATTCTGGGCTTGAAGTCCAAAAAGTCCACCAAATACAATACAACTCTCAACTTCCGGCTTGTACATTTTTTTTTCCAGATGACAGCGGCAGTGGTGTCAACACATTCATGTCTTGCCCTGATGAACGCCAATTCATTTATCCCATAAGTTTTTCACAGCTAAGTATTTTAAGCCAGGAATCAAAATAGGGAGCCTGGTTTCTTTCCTCTCATTCTCCTCACCAGCCCGCAAGATACAAAAAAGGGTTACAGACCACTCATTATTCTAGACACACTTCAGCCTTGGCTGAGAGATTTAGAATGTTGGTCTGGAAAACTCCTAGACATGATCTGGCCCAGATGTTTGTTTCCCTGTGGAGTGCCCTGAGGCTCATTCAACTCAACAAACCTCTGTGTGGACACGCAGGTCTGCAGGCAGTGGTGTGAGAGGACGGGACAGAAGGCAGCTTCTTTCAGTCTGAACACACTCAAATGCCTTTCACATTCTCCAGGGCACAGATTTAGTGTTATGCTTAAAAACAGACATACTAAACAACTCAGCAGGGAGCTTCTGGAAAAGCAGTGCTTCAGAATCAGCTTGAGGTTGCTGAAATAATTTGATCACTCCAGGAGGCCAGGGAAGGGTGAGATGGATGGAAAATATTTTTTTTCTTGCTGTCAAAGCTCAGAAAACTAGGATACTGCATCATCTAGATATGCTGTAGCTTATCTTTTTCCTTTAAAGATCGTAAGCTTCTAGGGGGTAATCCTTGCTCCTTACACTGTGTTATTTGGTATAAAGATTTTTAAAGTTTAGCCCAAGCCATGCTGTGGGACTTGACAGAACTGAGGGAAATCCAACATGCTTTTACACACTGTTTCTACAGCCGGTTTAATCCACCGTAAATCTCAGCACAGAGGCAGCTTACCTGTTAGTTAATCTTCTTGCTGACTCTCTGTTGGGTCATTTACACTGTCATCCTGACTATTCATTTCAACTGTAACCAGAAAGGAAAACAAACAGGTTAAATATTTGTTAAACCCAAATCTCTTAAACATATTAAAGTGGCCTGTGAATCGTTACATGCCTGATTTCCTGTCTTACACCTCTTTTCAGTTTGTTTTCCTTCCTTCAAGATTTGGGGAGCATGCTTGCAGATTTTTACTGGTGGGGGGTGGAATTGGGCAGAATTGCCTCTTACGGAACTGTAGGAGTTGTGTTGTCATTTCATACCAGACTTTTGGGTTGATATTTTGGCTGTTTATTACCATCCTTAGGGAGATTCAAACGCCTTAATAGATGTCTATGAAAATAGAGAGAAAACAAAGCAAAATAGCACACTGACGTGCGGAGAAGTAAGCAGTTTTCTCCAAAACAGCAATGCCAGGAGGCCTGCTTGGTTTCAATTTTGAAATTCAAAACAGACCCCAAAACTTGCCAACGTGTATAGTGGCAGTGGACACCACAAAATAACCAGATCACAGCGATAATAAAATGTGTGCTTTCACTTTACTGTGTATAGTATTGTTCTGTGTATATATTTGCATACAAATAGCATGCATAATTAATGCCACTGTCCAGAAGTAGCTCAGGGCAGGCATAGCAGACACTCTGGAAATTTTCAAGGGTCAGTAGGTTTAATTAGGTTGATATTTTTAAAGCATCAAAGCCCATATTATAAACTGAGAGACATAACCCACAGATGGACAATGGCTAGACCTTGTACAGTAGAACTCTGATTTCAAACCTCTGCAACAAACAGCTTGGGCAACCAAACCACAGCGTCTGCAGCAATCAGCTCAGAATCGTGAGGACTTGGCCAGCGACTGCCAGCTTCACTGTATTTCACTCTATGCTTCCAACATAGGACCAACCAAGGAAAGCCAAATATGTCCCCAAACCAACCAGCCACTTCTAGTTAGCCCAAGTCCAGCTCCCCTGGCCAACAACCTCCAATCAGAGGATGCTTGAGGTCTTCCCTTTGGTTCACTGTGAAGTTTTCCCACTTCCCCGCCCACCTTTGCATTGGCCAAAGACACAAGTGATAATAATGGCTGACACCCTGGGTATAAAGCACTGCGTAAGTAGCCTTTGTTTGTTCTCACTTGTTTGCACAAACTCAACAATCCAAATCTCTTTTTCTTGAACATGAAAACTCGATTGAAGTGAAATAGAGGCAGCTGCTGGATTTCACATTCCAGAGACTTGAAAGGGGGAATGATGTTGTATGGCAACCCAGCCTACTCTCTCTTGAGGAGAGAGGTTGTAAAAGCAGGTCTCTTTCCTCCTCCTGCAAACTGTCCTTGGTTTCTTTTTTTCCCCTCTCCATCCTTGGTTTGTAATGATGTGTGAGCCCATTCTATACCCCAGGTATAAACTGGCCAGATGCAGCCTCCCTATAACCAGAGAATACTGTGTGCACTTTCCACCCTAGCTTATCAAGTTATTCTAAGCCCGCCCATCTCCACGTGGGAGTGTGCAGAATACAACACAGGAGAGCATTCCTCTTCTGTTTCTTTCTCCAAGCCAAGGGTCACTAGTTCCAAAGCCTATTGATAATTGTTAGTACAAAAAGCATTCCATGATCAAATAAGCTTGGGAAAAGCAATGTTGAATCATGTTAATAAGTTTCTTTACAGCTAAGACTTCTGAGAGCCTGTAATGTGCATGGCAAATCTCCAAGTGAGGACTAAAGTTTAGCATTTCCCACATTTATATCCCTTTTATTCAATGCACATTGCACGGACCTGGTATTCTTCAGAATATGCTTTATAGAGAACTAGCTAAGAACCATGTCTATATTATCACAACCAGGCTGGGGCAGGTTTCATTCAACTGAGCGTGACTAACGTGGAGTGGCTTTTAGTGGATAAAGCTGAGGTTTAAAGACATTCTTCCCCTAGAGAATGCATGCCCATGAGTTAAAATCAGTTTGTATTGGGTGTAAGACAGGGAATATACAACACAGGGAATATAGCCAATATTTTGCAATAACTGTAAATGAAAAGTAACCTTTAAAACTGTATAAAATTTTTTTAATTAAAAAAATTCAAAAATCAGTTTCTGCAAACAGGCTTATAATTAAGGGAGGCAATTAAACTGAGGACAGGCTTATAGAAGGATGAAATACATGGTCTAGGAAACTCTTTTTAAAACCACCAAGCAATTTCTACCAGTGGCTAAAATTTCCCCAAGGTCATTATCAACCCAAAGTAATTTTCTTTTTTTTCCCCTGGCTGAAATAACCCAAACAGAAAGATATATATGTGTGTGTGTGTGTGTGTGTGTGTGTGTGTAGAGTTGATCACTGACCAATAATTCTGGTTCTCCTAAGTTCTGTGGGCAAATAAAATTAAATATTTATAAATAATGCATGCTCAAATAGTTGTTTTTCTAATGCAAATGATGATATTTCAAAGGGTTCCCAGCATCATTGTACAGGGGCAAGGCTATAATATTCCTGAGGCTCAGAATCTCTAGATGCTTTCAAAAAGAGATGTGACTAAAGAAAGGTTTATGTAAATTTATTCATAAAGCACTATTGAAGATTCACCGTGTTTTTGGCCAAGCCATCCGATGTGCTGTAGTGAGGGGAAGTGATGAAAGTCCAAGAACAACCTCAACCCAAACTCAAGCCAGGGCTCCTCGGAGCACTGAGTGGAGCCGGCACAACAGCTGGGTGCATATCTTCTGCAGAGGCGATATTTCTGTAAAGTCGCCAGCTAGACTTCGGTTCAGTTTAGCCTTGGAATTACCCACTGGTGCCTCAATATTATAAGGCTAAACTAAGTCACACTCAATTTAAAAATTAAAGGTTGCCAATGTTATTAGTTCCCAGTAGAAAATGGTTCTTGATCTTTACCTTGTTCTAACGGAATATGTTGATCCAGAGAATAGCTAGCTCCCTTAATCCTGGACTACACACAGGAAATGGGCCAGGTGTGTAGTTTGCATGACCCACAGCTCAGACCCTTACCGTCAGGATTTGCAGAGTTTTCTGTGTCGCCAGAGCCTTCGCTGCTCATAGGAACTCTTGGTGCGTCCTCACCTTCAGCTGAAAAAGTAAGATAGTCCTTGATTAATAGAGAATTAGAACAGCCAATTGTCCTGTCACCCTCCGTTGCCCTCTTAAATTTAAAAATACTCCTGGGATTCAACTTCTTTTGCAGAAAAGGTCAAAGGAGGAAATCGTGGGTTGAGTTGCTGGAATACTTTAGTGCTGTCATATTCTAAGCTCAGTTTAATTTGTGAGATAATCACATACACACATACACAGCTTCTCTAATTGGAAATCTCATAGCATGAAAGTAGGGAAACTTGGCTTAATCAGAACAACACACAGTTTGGATTTGGAGAAATTTGTATGTGTGTGAATTTATGTAGCTTAACCTTTGACTAGACTAAAAAGAGAAAACCTGTTTTGCCTTAGGCATGCTTGAGAGCTGAAAGGTTCATTTGTTTACACAAATGAATGGCTCAGTTGCTTGTCTAGAAGAACTTCTCGGGTGCTGCCATTCTGGATTGCTGAGAATCCAGTTGTTAGTCCATTTCTGTTGTAATTGTCCTCTCTTTCCACAGCTTCATAAGGCTTGCCATCCATCTGCTATGGCTGAAGCTGTGTAACATGCTTAAATGTGGTCATAATGAGATCTTTTCTTTTATGATCTGATATTGTGAGCATATTGCAAAATGATCACCACAATAAGTCTAGTTAACCTCCATTTCTCTTCTTGTGGAGAAATTTCCAGAGAGTTAAAAGGACAATCATCTCTTACTTCTTAGTTAAATATCTATTATGTTTTCACAGCTTGAAAAGCCAGGGCATTTAAAAATACAAATACAGATAAAGTGCGAAAAAAACCACAACTTAGAAGTCTTTTTTATTATTTCTGTCCTTTTTTAAAAAAGAGAAGATTAAATTCATTTTTGTTACATGAATACCTATTGAGCCCAGAGTACAGTCAATCTGGCGTTCCTGTTGGGGAGAATGAAGCAAAGATAGGAAAGATCCAGGTCATCATCTCTTCAAAGGAGGGTACCTTCAAAGATAGAACCCTTGGTAATGATTTACTGAAGCTGACAATCAAGAAACAAGATGCAATGGTGATTGAACTTTGAGCCTGGGTGGGTGGATGTTAGGAAGGTCAGTACTTGAAGACACATAAAACAAGCAAAGTGAAGGAAGATGAAGAAAGTCATCTTAGATTTGAAGTCTGATGTGCAGGGTCATTTCAGTGGAGATGCCAAACAAGTTTTGCACTTGATGCTGAGGAAGAAAACTGAGAATTAGACGTATGGGAATTTGGGAGATGTCATATGTAGAATGATGTCATACCATTGATTACATGAGAGTAGATGAGAAAAGTCAGGAAAAGGATGAGACAAGAAGGAAAAATTGACTGTGGACTCCCAGTCCTACAAGGACAACACGAAAGCAACTGTGTCCACGAGTTCTTTCCACTAGTTCCTGAGGACGAGGTTGGGAAAGGGAAAACAAAACTTGAAACCTCCAACTGGACTGAACACCGTATCATATATTTTCTCATGCTGCCAATTTTAGAAAGTAGACCATTTTTCAATTGCTCATCAACACATTCCTTAAAGATGCAATTACAGAAAAAAAACATTGATGGATTTCTCTAAGCTTGGGAGCAGGAAATCTTTGCTAATTATGCCTCAAAACAGAAGTAATAAGAAAAAATAAATATGTGACTTTATAGAAACATAATAAACTTATGGAATGGAAACAAATACCAGAAGAAATATTTTAAAAAAATCAACAATAAAAAAGAAATGTTTAAAGAAAGAAAGATTACAAATTGAGGAAAAATATTTACATCTTTTATCATAGACAAAGGGTTAATATCTTTGGTTTATAAAGTACTTCCAAAATTAGAGATAAAGAAGATTGACAACTAGATAGAAAATCAAGAAATTTAACAGAAAGTTTATTTAAAAAAAATGAACGGCTTGTATATATGTGAAAAGCTGATTCACTCTGCTACTAATAAAAAAAAAGAAAGTTAAAATTGCACTGAGAAAGGGATTTCTGCCTAAAATGGACTATCATGATGTAGAAAGATGACATCTTTCTCAGCAACAGCAGCTGGAAACACTGAGCAGACTGTTTGACAAATTATTTTAAGGCGCCAGAGGGCCCTCAAGGCAGCAGAAGCTTGAGGAGGTACAAAGTGGTGAACCTGACATTCCACATGTACCAGGAAGTTGAACATGAGTCTCCAGGTGTCTTCCTTGAGGCTTGAGGGAGGGGCAAAACCTGGAGGTCAGGGCCCGCCGAGGAAGAGGTGCTCTGATAAGTACCTTAGGTTTTCTGTGGGATCCACTGAAGGGTTACACTCTGGGGCAGGGATGAACTTGAAATAGACCAGTTCTTAAAAAAAAAAAAGTCCAACTTTCAGTCAATTTAACCCCTAATTAGATTTCAGTGCTCTGCTCAATCCTACCAGCTTTTCAGAAGGAAAAGTAAATCCTCTGTGGAAGAAGCTAAAAACATCTAGAGCCTTGAATTATGTCTACAAGTTTTCATACACAGTGTTCAGCACTAAATAAAAAGTCACCTGGCATTCCAGAAGAACAAGAATGTACCACTGAAAACCTGGACAATAGGCAGTATATAGAATCATGTTAGAGATGCAGATATTGTAGACACAAATTTAAAGTATGATTAATGTGTTTAAGAACTGGATGGCAATTTGGAGAACTCTCTTGGCAAAGCAGTTTATCAGATAACGGGTCTGGATACTATAAAATGTCAGATGTAAATTCTAGAACTAAAACATATGTAATAATTGAAGTTAAGAATTCAATAGGTGGATCTGGCAGCAATTAGACACAGCAGAAAAAGAAATTCATAACCTGAAAGCTAAGTTAGAAGAAAATACAAAGAATGAAATACAGATGAAAAATACACAAAATAATTAGCCGAGATATGAGACAAGTCCTATCCCATGTAATGGGAAAAGGCAGTATTTTAAAAGACAATGGCTGATAATTTCCTCAAATTAACAGAAGATACCAAGTCACTGATTTAAGAATATTACAACCCCCGAGCGAAATTAATGCAAAGCAAGCCTAACTCAGGCCAACCATGGCAAAACGGATGACAATCAAGGTTAAAGAAAAAATACAAAATTATCTAGTGAACAAAGACCATTAACTTCAAAATCACAGCAGGAGGAATTACAGACATGTTCTTAACAAAAATAAGGGCACCTAGAAATAAAGCGATGACATCTTCAAAGTGCTTTAAAAAAATACCACCAATGTCAAATTTCATACCTAACAAAATCTTCTTTCAAACTTGAATTTGAAATAAAGTATTTTCAGGAAAAAAAAACAAAATTTGTTCAGGGGGAAAAGTAGTAGACCTACAGTGAAAGATTTTCACTACATTAAAAAAATAAATTCCAAGTAGATTATAGAACTAAACTTGAAAGCTAACATGGAAAAACACCATCATTAGGCAAAAAATTGTTATACAGGAAACACCAAAACTAACCATTAGGAAACCGTTCAAATTCAGCACAATTAGTCTATCAAAACACACTATTAAGAAAGTGCAAAAATACGCTAGAGTGGAAAAAGATATCTGCTCTACATATAGATAGAGATATATTTATAGACATACAGATACAGGTGTCTGCTATATATACACATATATTTTAATATATATACATATTACAAAGGACTTACAAAGGATTCTTGTGTTAATATAGAAAGAAAATAATACACAAATGAGCAGAAAAGCCAGGTAACCCAATAAAAAATGGGTGAGACTCAGACAGACATGTCATAAAAGAATATCTTCTGGCCAGTCACTTAATTTTTTGAATGACTTTTGCCAAATATCGGAGTATGGAAAAGCCTTGGCTTTTTTTTTTCACTATTAAAATAACTACAAAATGTTCTAACTCCTTGTCTGACTCTCTGGGGCACCAGCAGAACTTGTCAAAAATCTAACATTGTTGCTATATTTGATAAGGTATGATTACTATGGAAGAAAATTAATTAACCTAACACTATTTAAACATCACTTCTTTGACTTTCTCCTTGAGGTTGTTGTTTGTGATGAGATCTAGAGGTACCTGTGGCTGATTCTTCCAGGAAATCTCTCTCAAAATCGTTACTGTGAGTGGCAGTACTGCCAGCGATGTCACTATGGAGAAACCTCGCTGACATCATGGGGAACTTTCTAGCTCACAGGCAGGATGCTAGCCAATTAGATCATGCTTAGTGAGAATGAAGGAGTGTATAAAAGTGGGCTGGGAGAGGAAAGAAGAGGCTGAAGAAAACAAAACCCCAAAGGCAAATCAGACTGTGGTAAATAGTTAAGTTGCTTGCCTTATGTTTTGTCTTTTCAACTTCATTATTTTAAAATCTAGTACATTCATTGAGAAACCTTAAGCTGTACCACCATATTGGCACAGATCAGCATGAGATGTAATGGCAGGTTTGAGATCCCTGACAGAGAGCGAGAAAAAGATAAATCATAGTGTAGCTCTGTATCCTGCCATGTTCTTGAGCAGAGGTCTCTTAGAGCTGCTTTCGGAAGACCCTAACAGTACGTTTCATAGACATTATTCATTTAGTTAATATCATGAGTGTGCATGATACATATATGTATGAGTATGATTATATGATTATGTGTGTAATAGTGTGTTTACGTGGACATGCGTGTGCATATATGTATGCCTGTGCAAGTGTGTGTTTGTGTGTGTCTGTGTTGTGTACCTGGAAAGAGGGAGAGAGGAATGACAGATATTTGTTACCCTGATGTGCATGTGGAACTGGTACTATCCTAAGGGCTTCTCCGCTGCTGGGCAATGCATCTGAGTGCCCCAGAGAAATGAGTCCATTTCACACAGACAACAGAGTCTGATCAAAACAAAAATTGCCTCGACAGCCTATTCATTCCAGTTTGCCTGTCTCTCCCTTCATTTTGATTGCTGCTGCTTGGAGCACAAACAAAAGGTCCATTTCAGGGCTCCTAGCAGGAGATAAAAGATACTGAAATAGAAAGAGCCTGGGACATTC